TTCCGAAAGCGGATGATGTCCGGAAACAGTGGTTGCAATTAATTTTTTAACTCTGTTCCTGAGCATTATAACCCCAATTTGCTATTGTGTGCTGCGCATTTTACTGAGGACAGCTTCCACAACATGAGTGAGTAGTGCCGGATTCCCAAAAGCTTTTGTTGAAAGACGGAGCAAGAGGCGGGGCAGTACTGAAACACCGTCCAATCACAACGCACTGGGACAGGTAACCAATCACAACACATTTAGTTTTTTGGAAGGCAGACCTTCATCAAAGCCGGAACTAATCGAGCGATTTGTGCCAGGCTAGGGAGAAAGGTATTGTAATAATGTAAATTATGTGAAAAATAATGCGTCTTTCGAACCAGCAAGCATGAGAGCATGTTCTAGTACACCCCAAAACAAATTCAAGACAGTGTAAAAGAGCATAATAGGACCCCTTTAAGACCTTTTTAGGCCTTAATTTTACATTATTTATTCTGTTATTTTCCTGTTTAGTTTCGTTGAACTGCTTTGAAACAACCCGTTTTGTATAAAGCACTATAGAAGTAAAGAGGAGTTTATTCACACACGTCCAAGTAAAAGTATGAAAGAGTTTCTCCTACTGACCTGGATTCTGAGACGAAGCGAGACCCAGCTGAGACACGGCATTGATCTTCAGTCAGCGGGAGAGAACAAGACAAAGACAAGATAAAGATGAAAATCAACAAAAACACTCCTGTGTGTGTGTGTGTGTGTGTGTGTGTGTGTGCGTGCGTGAGAGAGTGTGTGTGTGAGCGTGAGTGTGTGTGTGTGAGCGAGCGTGTGTGTTTGAGTGTGTGTGTGTGTGTGTGAGCGTGTGTGTGAGCGTGTTTGAGTGCGTGTGTGTGAGTGTGTGTGTGTGAGAGAGTGTGTGTGTGATAGTGCTGTGTTCAAAATATCGATACGACGATGTATCGTCACAGAGATTTGACGATACGAGTATCGATACAGCTGGCCCTGTATCGATACTGTGGCACGTGTGCAGCAGTGGACCACGCTTAATTTTACAACGTTTAAAATAAGCGGAAACTTAAAAAAAATGTTGTGCACACCGCCATGCGAAACGACGCCGCACGCACTCAAAGCGAACTTGCGGACGCTCGAGTATAAATCAGCAGGCTTGCCAGAAGAAAGCCTCTTCTATCTAAAAAAGCTTGGCAGCACGGTTTAGGTTTGCAAAGTTGCATCTGAACAAACCATAAGTCTTCTAGAACAATGACCTTTGAACAGATGAGACCATGATTATTTATTTGCACAATGCAGGGTCTGAACAGTAGCATGCTCTGTGTTAGATGCCAAGATGGATATGTCACACATTATGTCAGGTCTACACACAATATTTGTGCAATCTTTTATTTTAGCGTGCCCATCTCAACGTCTGTGAGTGAAGCTTCACGCTGTGTTGCTCTGGTGGACTCCACTGGAATGGGTTGCAGATTTGTTATGTACGTTCCTTGCTGTACGTGTATTTCATCCTCCAGAGAATGTAAATGTCTCTGGTTAACTCTTTACCTTGTAAAAAGGCTGCTTTAATGTCCTTGGAGTTTAGCTGCCATTTATTCTGACATATGACTGCCATGATCATTTTTAGAGACTCTGAACTACATGCAGGCGAGTCTTTGGGAAGGTCTTGTGTGTTCGTTTCTTCAAAGCCTTAGGTACAACTCCAGCAGTTGTTTCTTTTAGTGTGGAGATGTACACACAGTATTTGTGCAATCTTTTATTTTAGCGTGCCCATCTCAACGTCTGTGAGTGAAGCTTCACGCTGTGTTGCTCTGGTGGACTCCACCTGAATGGGTTGCAGATTTGTTATGTACGTTCCTTGCTGTACGTGTATTTCATCCTCCAGAGAATGTAAATGTCTCTGGTTAACTCTTTACCTTGTAAAAAGGCTGCTTTAATGTCCTTGGAGTTTAGCTGCCATTTATTCTGACATATGACTGCCATGATCATTTTTAGAGACTCTGAACTACATGCAGGCGAGTCTTTGGGAAGGTCTTGTGTGTTCGTTTCTTCAAAGCCTTAGGTACAACTCCAGCAGTTGTTTCTTTTAGTGTGGAGATGCACTTCTGCCCTTCATCTTTCACTTCTTCTGATTCTCTCCGAGCATTCGGCTTCTGTGAATGCTTTTCTCATTGCACGTAGTGTTGTGATTTGCTTAGCTATCCAAGCACTCATACTGGTTTACTTACTTGTCTGTGTAGTTTCAGCAGGACTCTCTCCTTTTCTTTTGTTGTCATGTTTTCGGTCACAGCAAGAATTTCATTTTAATTTTGCTCTCACTTGTCTCCTTTTCACCTAGATGACTGCCATCTCTCAAGTTCACACAATAATGTCCTGAAGATGTCAGTTCGAGGTTAACAGGTTGTTTAAACATCGTTGCTTTGTCATTTGCAATGTCCAGAACTGCACTTGCTCTTTTCAATGAAGCATATAATCAATAAAACATAGCTTAACACTGGGCACCTCACAGTCACTGAATCATAGGGTGTCTTAACTTTGTCACACATGGCTTTTCCATCTTGGCTTTATTTTTGTTAGCACGGTGTGATATGTCATGTGTTGTTGTTCATCTGAGGCTTTATTTCCAAATTTTAAGACTTTCCAAAGACCAGATAATTTTTTGTTATCTCCTGATACAGAAAACCATGGAATTCAATCGGGTGTCCTTACTTTTTCACATCACTGTATGTACGTATAGTTTAATACAAAGGACCAAAAACCAATCACAAAGAGTACTTTCTTCATTTAAAAACATGAGATGCAGTGGAATGGGGAAAAAATGCCATAAAGTCTCAAGACATGTTTTTATAAGTTGAACTTAAATTAATTCTCCATGGCTTTCTAAACATGCAGCTTCTTTTGTGCGAGACGCGAGTGCAACGCTGATAGATGTCCCTCTAGAAAACGTGATAAATGTGTTCTGTGTGAATGGCTTGGTTTCAGTTTTGACGTAAACAACATTTTCTCTGCATTGATGTTCTGTTTTTCCGCAGTATTTTGAACGAGCAGCGCCGCATCTAGTGCTGCATAGACTAACAACACATTATAATGCAGTGACACTTACATCGTCAGCGCATCTCGTGTCCACTGATAACGTTTTAGCATTCAAATGTGGATTTTTATTTTAAATCCGACGAATATTCCCAAATCGATGTTTTCTGACAGCCCTAGTGTGCATGTGTGTTTAAAGTACCGCTTCATCAGGTGCTGCTACGCTTCTTTTCGCCGGCAGTAAGTGCACCTGCGGTGGAGGGTTGCTGTTGTATTCTCGCACACGAGCACACGTCATCATGCTCTCGAGGTACAAGTAAACCGGATCCTTCTCCGTCTCCTGCACCTGTGATCAGCACGAACAACAGGACACAGAAAACTAAAATAAACAAACAATCGAAATATAGTCGGAAGCGTCTGTGCACACGAGCAACTCGTAGCTAAACACAGTTAACTTCGTTAACGAAATCTATGACGAAAAATGTTAGTCAACAACGTAAAATGAGACGACAAGACGATAATAAGGTCATTAAACGTAAAACTGAGACTACATCAACATGCAATATTGTTGACGAAAAAAGACTAGACTAAAAGAAGTTTCAGTTGGGGCCGGATTATTTTTATCGTTATAATATTTGAGAGTAGGTTTTTAGTTTTCATAACGTAGACAGGGCGAGAGTATATCTAAAGTCTTTAGTGTTTATTTAGCCTCTAACTGATATCCTGTTATAAATCTGTACACTAGATGAGGATGAGTCAATATTCTATTGATTTGTGCTTATTATTGAAAGAGCGACTTCTGATGAAATGTAAAAATACATTTCCCAAATGAAAACGATCACTGCAATTAACTCTTTCCCCGCCAAACACAGAATTTTCCTGGTTTCTGTGTTCTCGCTGTTAAACGCTAGGGGGCGCTGTTACACATCTCCTGAATGAGTCTAGAATCACTCGATCAAAAACACAGACGAGGAAGACACAGAAACCAGCGATCTCATATATAAGCATATGCATATGAAAAATAACGCGATCATCAACAATAACCGCATATAAATGAAAACTGCCTAATGTTGCCGAGTGAAATGTGGATCCAGAAAGTGTGCAAGCTTTGGGAGTGCTGATGGAAGCCATCTACTGCATCGTTGCTTTGATAATATTGCTGAATATGATCCAGATGTAATATTTGATTAAAATGTGATTTTCTCAGCTTTTTGCTTTAAAATTTTGTTTTTTTTTCATGAAACCTGCCTGCATTCAAGTGTTGATAAAAAAGAATGCTTAAAGCTAAAATGAAACGTTTGTTTAAAAGTAGAGGGTCTGTTCTAAATTTTGATAAAAGATATTCATACAACAAAATATTCTGGGGGCTATGAAATTTGAGTGAAAATCAGCAAAAATGCTGGCGGTGGCTGGCAACTTTTTTCAAAAACGCTGGCGGGGAAAGAGTTAAAATTGAGACAATAATCATTTTTATCATTTTAAACATTATACAGCAAGACAAAAATGTGACAAACTATAGACTAAAATGCTCAAACATTTAGTTGACTAAAACTCAACTAAAACAGCAGAAGTTGACTAAATATGATCAAAACTAAAAGTTGCATTTGAAAACCTAGCAGAGAAAAGCAGCACGGCTTGATAGACAGCAGCTGACCTGAGGACAGGGCCACGGCGCGGGAGCATGATGGTGCGGCGCTCGTCTCGGCGCTCCGCTGGCTCTGGGAGTGAACAGCGGCTCGGGGTCGTTCTCTCCGGCTCTCCTCCTCCACAGGCTGCTGATTCTGAGCGCTGGCTCCGGCCTGCCGTCTGATCCGGGGCCAGCGACGGCTGTGACACCACACAAGAGCAGCAGCATCACTCACAACACAACACATGACCTACAGGCACAAGATCGGTCACTGAAAACGATTAACTTCTGACGTCTATATGGGCTACTGTAAATATACGGTTAGTGACATCAGTGTCACAGATTCAATCACAGCGACCCGAGAAACAGCAAGATCCAGAACAGAACATTTACACACGAGTGTTATTATAGATAACTTAACTGAAATTGTTTTCATTTTTGGTAAGTTTTAGTTAGGGCTGTGCGATTTTTCCGATTTGATCGATTAATTTGAATGTAATGCTTTGCCACGATTGTATTTTTTATAAATCGAGGAATCACTATTTTGAATAGAAATATTACCAAACGTTAGATTTAGACACTTTGACAATATGCCGGTGATAACGGTAAAGAGAAAAGAACGATCCAACCGAGTTCAGTGAAGCACCGCGAGCAGAATATATATCACTAGACACCATTCACACAGAATGAGCTTTTGTGTTGATAAAGATGCGACGCTGCAGTGGAATAGCAAACACATGCAAGAAGATGAAGTGAACTCCTCTTAACTTGAGCGCAGTGTTTTTAGAAAGCTGTTTCATGCAAGAGACGCTGCAAGAGACGCGAGAGCAACAGTCAAACAGTCCATGTTCACACAGAAAACACAATGGAAAAGCAGCGCAAGCGAATAATAAAACCTGTGAAGAACTGTTACTGTACGTCTGATATTTCATGTTTGCATCACGCTGTCAGACTGAAAGCTGCTGTTGTTTTACGGAACATTTAGAGTTAATAATACTCTACTGCTGTTATACCTTCAGTCGTTTTGAGTTTGAATTAACTTGACTTCTGAGATTTTTTTTAAAGCATTGTATTATTTCTGAACATATGTATAAGACAAGTTTGTACAAGATGTAGTTATAGTTCATGCATCTTTTCTGCAAAGATATTTAACAAGTGATTTGTTTAACATTGATATCTTCATGTGCGCTGCACTTGGAACAGAATTGTCTTTAACTAGAGGAAGTCACTGGAATCATGTCGTAGTTACATTTTCAAGTCGACTAGTTAAAAATCGTAAAAAATTGAGAATCGGTCAAACGTTCTGAAAATAAATCTAGATTTTCTTTTTTTGCTGTATCGTCCAGCCCTAGTTTTAGTATTTCTTTTAAATATGTCTATATGTGTCCCTGCAGCACAAAAGCAGTGTTGAGTCGCTGGGGGATATTTGTAGCAATAGCCAACAATACATTGTATGGGTCACAATTATACATTTCTCTTTTATGCCAAAAATCATTAGGATATTAAGTAAAGATCATGTTCCATGAAGATATTTAGTAAGTTTCCTACCGTAAATATATCAAAACTTAATGTTTGATTAGTAATATGCATTGCTAAGAACTTCATTTGAACAACTTTAAAGATGATTTTCTCAATATTTAGATTTTTTTGCACCCTCAGATTCCAGATTTTCAACAAAAATTAAAAAAATATTTTTTAACAGACCATACATCAATGGAGAGCTTATTTATTCAGCTTTCATATGATGTATAAATCTCAATTTCATTCAAGTTTTAGTTATTTTAGTACAAAACATGCTGTACTGAAAACTAAAACCTATAAAGAATAAAAACAATACAGAAAAAAAAGATAAAAACAACTAAATTACCAAACTGAAAATCTAATCGGAATCTAAATATGAATAAGAATAACATGTGAATGAGTAAACTAAGAGTGACTGGCACTTGAGCGCAACAGTAAAGTGCAGACTTACGGAAGGCCACCAGGCTCCCGGCGCTGTGCTCGGAGCGCACGAGGAGGATCTTGTGCTTGAAGCAGCCGCAGCTGAACATGCACTGCACACGTCTGCAGTGAGTGGATCCTCGTGCTTCTCTGTTCAGACTTTCACAGACGCAGCCCAGCCGGCAGAAGTCTTTACCACACACACCTTCCCTGTCCTGCTGCTTCGTCTTCACCGCCTTCTGTACAGATCACATCATTCTAACACTTTTATACAGACTCTTAATAAGGGGACAAAATGTTTTAATCCCAGCATGAGAAAACTGAACAATATTTATATATTAAATCTTGTGCTAATGCCTATTTTTGATAATCCAGTGGGGAAAAACACGTTAATCCTGTTATCTCATTCAGCAACTTTGCAAACTTTCTTTACAGTAGCACAGCGATTCCCAAACATTTTAGTCAGCTGAACCCCTTAGACGTAAAATATTTACGTGAAGAACTTTCCGAGATTTCTTCAATAATTTAACGACGCATTCACAAGTTCACAGTTCTCTAAGGTTGGTAACAAGTCACATGACATGCAAGCAAACAGATAAAATATCAAATCTTATTAGTAACTGTTCTGTACCTACCTCAGAAAGCACTGGTAGTTAGAGATGCACCGATGTATCGGCCGAGTTTTGATTATTTTAAAGCCATCTGCATATATCGGTAATAGCATGAAAAGGGCCGATAACGATGCTTTATTAATTAACTGCATGGAGACAACGAGTTGCACGTCTGTTGCATAATCCAGCGTTTTTCAAAATAATTAAATACTTGCCAAAACAAAATAAAATCTATAGAAAATATCGTTTGTCACCCGGCTCAGGTGTAAATTCATCACCGGTAAGTCGTCACGAACCGCCAACCATTAGAACTACATTGACATGAAAATGAATGTCAGGTAATATGCAGCTTTTTGTTTGAAGCCAGTGTAGAACACGGATTCACACACGGTCACATTTCTGTGAACGGAGAAAACTATATAGGCTACATAAAAAGGAATATATAGGCCTATACACTAAATATATTTCACTGAAATCATTAACGGATTAACAAAACAAAAGAAATAAAGTGCCGAGTTTCGGATAATTGTAAAACGCGCTCCGAAGTTCACGGAAAGGAAACCGAGACGGCAGAAAGCGGTTTTCTTTATTTTACAAAAGCTTCACAGTTTTGAATGATGTTTTGCTTCTATCTGTATGACAAACCAGCGTTGCTATGACCTTAATTATGAGTTACAGTTGGGAAAACAATGCAGTGATCGCGTCGGTGCCTCACACACACATACAACCGATTTATGCTAATTAGACAACGCAGCCTGTTCATTATCAAAATAAAATACAGTTAAAGAAGCATACAAAGTTACACTTTTCAATTTAAATAGTCCGTAGTACAGTCTGTGCCTCACTGCTGTTATAGTCTATATGTGAAGGATGAGGTTTTACATCCACATGCGAGTGACCGAAGAACAAAGCCTATGGTTCACATAATAAATAATAGTTTAGCATCCAGATACTTCACGAATGTGGAAACATCTGGATTCGTGCAGAATGAGAGAGATAGGCTTCAGATTCGCTTTTAAATTAATTCGTTTTGGCTTGACGCTTATATTTAGCCTAAATACAACTTTAGAGGATTTGTTGTGGAGAGAAGGGAACTAAAATAGCCTAATTGTGTTTGTAATTTTGCTTTTATTTACCATTATTTTAGCCTACATTATTTCTGAATGTAATAATATAATGTAACGTACAGCCTACTAATTTAGGCTGTTTTTTTCCTCTCAAAACGCTTATAGGAGCTTATAAACGCTTCATATAGAATACTATGAAATATGTTGCGTGCCTTATTCTGTGTAAGGAGCCTCATCTTCTCACAGAAGGATTTATTTCAAACACTACGCTAACAGCTGTCATTATCGCGAACGATTTCTTCGATTTCATAATCGTACGATTATATCGTCTGTGACTTTCTTTGCGTAGCTTGTCAGTGAACTCCGGCTCTGTGTAGTAAATGCTGCTCCGTCTGAAAGCATGTGATGGAGATTTACTACTAATCACAGAACCGCTTTACTGACGAGATGCGCGTGACTATCGCACTCGATTAATCCTGCAGCCCTACTGCATTGGCTAAGACTAAACGAGATCATCTTTTTGAGTAAATTAAACGCTGTACTTTATTATTGTTATTATTATTAGTATGATTATTATTATTATTGGCAAAGAAAAAGTTGTTTGTTAAAATCGGTATCGGCCATTAAAAATCCTATCGGTGCATCCCTACTGGTAATATAAGGTAACTACATGGGGTAGGTTCAGAGTTATTACAATTACTATAATAAGTAGAGTATGTACATGAGTAACAGGACTGTAAAATAAAGGGCTACTGATTTTTTAATTATCTATTTATATAAATAAGCAAACATAGTGTTTTATGTTTTTATTGTAAAATGATTATATATCATATTTAAAATTATTTTATAATTATTTATTTATATAAATAAGCAAATATATGTGTATATGAGTTTTATTTCATTGTTTTGTAATTATTATATATAATATTATGAATTATTTTACAATTATTAATAATTTATTTATAAGTGAATAAACAATAATAAATTTTAATAAATGCATAATTATTATTTATAAAATTATTATTAAAAAAAAAATCTTATTACGTTTCATTTCACATTGCTATTGAAAAACCCTGCAGTAGCATAAAAACAACAGCGTCCAGTCCTAGCTAGTGTGCAGTAATCAGATGTGTAAGTGTGTTAGAGCCGTCTAATAAAAATTCTACATTTCGAATATTTGTCGAATTTAAAATAAAAATCCACATTTGAATGCAAAAACGTTGCATGTTAGGTCTCGAGACTTCATGGCGTTTTCCCCATCCCACTGTATCACATGTTTTTAACTGAAAAAAAGTAGTCTGTGATTGGTTTTCGGTCCTTTGTATTAAACTATACATACATGCATGATGCTGTTTTGTTTCTAATTATTTAAGCAGCTTGTGTTATGGGTTATAAACATTATTTTAAACATTATGCACTTTTTTCAAAGATAGTCGTGTTATTTTATTATGCTTTGAAGAAACGTGCATTAGTAATATTTTGCTCGATGCGCCCTCTTGTGGCCTCAGGAGAGAAGACAAAAGCTTTTTCCCCCCTAACTGAAATTATGCCCTTTAAATTAGAACATAATTCAATTATTGATGATATTTAAGTACAAAATTCTAACTTTTTCAGGCATTCTGCCAGCCCTAGTGTGTGTGTGAGAGCGGACGCACCTCTGCGGTCAGCAGTGAGCTCAGAGCGAAGCCGGCTCTCTCAGCGCTGATGCGAGTGGGACTCTGTCCGAGAGAGACGGCCTGCTGCTCCTGAGCCAGCAGCTCCGAGTGCTTCTGAGCGACATGATGCTGTTTTGTTTCTAATTATTTAAGCAGCTTGTGTTATGGGTTATAAACATTATTTTAAACATTATGCACTTTTTTCAAAGATAGTCGTGTTATTTTATTATGCTTTGAAGAAACGTGCATTAGTAATATTTTGCTCGATGCGCCCTCTTGTGGCCTCAGGAGAGAAGACAAAAGCTTTTTCCCCCCTAACTGAAATTATGCCCTTTAAATTAGAACATAATTCAATTATTGATGATATTTAAGTACAAAATTCTAACTTTTTCAGGCATTCTGCCAGCCCTAGTGTGTGTGTGAGAGCGGACGCACCTCTGCGGTCAGCAGTGAGCTCAGAGCGAAGCCGGCTCTCTCAGCGCTGATGCGAGTGGGACTCTGTCCGAGAGAGACGGCCTGCTGCTCCTGAGCCAGCAGCTCCGAGTGCTTCTGAGCGAATGCAGAGGCCTGTGCTCCGTCCACGGCGTCTCTGTTGAACCTCAGCGTCCGCCTCCGCCGCCGGTACCTTCTCCTGCGTCTGGAGGGAGCTCCGCTGGACGCTGCAGGACGCTGAGGAGGATCTTCAGAGACGCTGCGCTTCCACCGGAGTCTGGCCGAGGAAGAGCGCACTGCTTCCGGAGCCGCTCTAACACCTCGTCTGGATCGCCACGCTTTAGTGCGCTTGTCACGGAGTCCAGAGGGGGCAGAGCTGCGCGTCTGGAGCACACTATCTAGGGTCCTCACGTAGCTGCTGCTCTTGACGGGCAGCTGATAGAGCACCGGAGACGGAGCGCTGGAGGAAAACACGGCGGCGCGTTCGCTGATCCGCTGGCCTTCAGCCTCCAGATACTCGTCCAGCAGGACCGAGGAGAACGCCGAGTGACCGGCCGTGCCTGATCAGCAGCGGAAACAGGAGAAAAGCACACCTGAAGACCAGCCAATCCAATAAACGAAGCAGGGCTGGGAAAATAAACCGATGCATCGCAAATCGAGAAATGATTCCGCATTGATTCTGAGGTTTTCCGAAGGCGTCGCGATTCTCTCTCGAGTCGATTCTGAGCATAGTTTTGAACAGCAGATGGCGCTGCATGCTTCAGAAACAGACAAATCCTTACACACACTTGAACCTAAAATAATCCTTCATAGGATTCGAAAAGATTGCAGCGAATCACAAGGGTGTTCACAGTGGGCTGTGTTTACATTAATCTGGCGTCATAAAAGCATTCTGAGCCGAGGTGAAATTACAGACTCTAAAAAAAACTAAACTCTAAAAACTAGAGTAGAGCGACATCTGCTGTTAGAATATAAGCTCAGAATCAATTCCAGAGAGAGTCGCCATGCATTCGGAAGATCTCAGAATCAGTCCACGAATCAATTCTGCATCGATTCATCGCCGCAGCTCTAAAACGAAGGAGCTGTTTTTATGATGTGCTTACTGTCGGCTGAGCTCTTTGAACTGAACTTCTCCATCCAGCCTTTGATCCTGGTCAGATCGCTCATCTTCCCAGTGCGCGAAACTAAAGCGGCGTCTGGACACAAACAAGAAGCATAAATAATAAATAAATGAATTAAACAAAACTCCAATATATCATTAATAGCATGTTATTTTAATAGTTTTATAAATAAATCTCATACTCATTACTGTAGTTCTAAAAACTTCTGTTTTTAATATCACACTATTTTCTTCTATTTTTTTATTTGAACAGTAAACCTTTGTTGTGCAGCACTTTGTTTGCCAAAAAGGAATAAAAGAAATTAGTAAAAAAAAAAAAAAAGTTTAATTAAATTTTAAAAGATTAATTACATTGTCAATGTTTTATGCCTTCATTAGAAATGATTTTTGATTATAAAAAAAAAAAAAAAAAACGTATTATTTAAAATTCAAATTCAAATGAATGAATCCAGAAAAATTAAAACAGAAAACACAGAAATTTGGGAAAAAGTAAGAAGGTTTTCATAGGGCCCAAAAATGTTTAATAATAAAAAATATATATATATAATAATAATAATAATAAATAAAACTTTTTAAAGTTTTTGTTAAACTGTGTAGATTTCATTATTTCAATTAATGTAGCACGCTAATTTTAGTATTACTAAAATTTAATTTAAACATTAAAACAGAATCCAGAAAAATTCAAATGGAAGAAACAATTTAAAAAATGATAAAACAGACTCAATAGGACCCCATGTTTCTCATTAATGTCAGTGATGATTCATATTAGACTCCATCACTCTAATATAACAGCACAAACACCATAATCTTCATGATTTTGCTTACGGGAGGATGATGTGAGGACAGGTGAAGGCAAAGGTAGAGCAACACCCAGATAATGCAGGTCTATGGGTGCCGCTGGATCCAGAAGATTCAGCTTCAGCCCAACTGTGCAGAAACCAGAACAGAAAACAGAAATGAATAAACCAGACAATAACAGAGCAAAAGACGAACCGCAGATGGGTTATGAGTGCTGCGGGTATTTGATCTGCATCCTTTCACTTCTTCTTTTTTAATCTCAATAATTTAATTTTAATTCATCTTTTCCAGTAAGCAGGGATCAACGCTAAGGATTTTTTCTACTGAAAAAATAAAATAGTTGCCGTTATCATCGTTTTTGATCTGTTATCTTGTATTCTAATAAATAAGCTTATATGACACCAATATTTTAGATAACAATTACATTTTACAATTCTCTATTTCAATTTAGATACCACAGCGAAAATCACTAGCCAAAAATAAACAAATATAAAGTTTAAACATTATTAAAGACAAATGAACAAATTACAAATAATAGCACAATTAAATATAGGCCTATAGCACAAAGATAGAAATGAAATTATGCTTTAGGTTTTTATGTTTGTAGATGTTCAGGTTCAGAAATGGAAAAATCACATATAAAATAACATTCGCATATTCTTCACTCTGTGTTGCACCTTGATTTTTCATAGCCGTTTGAAATTAGAGGCAACCACTGCATTTTAATCATGAGTTGGAAAAAAGTGCAATGTTTGATTTATATTAGTTATCATCGTTTTTGATCTGTTATCTTGTATTCTAATAAATAAGCTTATATGACACCAATATTTTAGATAACAATTACATTTTACAATTCTCTATTTCAATTTAGATACCACAGCGAAAATCACTAGCCAAAAATAAACAAATATAAAGTTTAAACATTATTAAAGACAAATGAACAAATTACAAATAATAGCACAATTAAATATAGGCCTATAGCACAAAGATAGAAATGAAATTATGCTTTAGGTTTTTATGTTTGTAGATGTTCAGGTTCAGAAATGGAAAAATCACATATAAAATAACATTCGCATATTCTTCACTCTGTGTTGCACCTTGATTTTTCATAGCCGTTTGAAATTAGAGGCAACCACTGCATTTTAATCATGAGTTGGAAAAAAGTGCAATGTTTGATTTATATTAGACTGTAACAGAGTGGTCTGAATGAGATGCAGATTCACTCTCTGACAGCAGCGCTTATGGAACAGGGAGGCAGCGTTTCCTTGGTTACCGCTGTAAACACAGCAGGTGGCCCTTATGGAACAGTGATGCAGCGTTACCTTGGTTACCGCTGTAAACACAGCAGGTGGCCCTTATGGAACAGTGATGCAGCGTTACCTTGGTTACCGCTGTAAACACAGCAGGTGGCCCTTATGGAACAGTGATGCAGCGTTACCTTGGTTACCGCTGTAAACACAGCAGGTGGCCCTTATGGAACAGTGATGCAGCGTTACCTTGGTTACCGCTGTAAACACAGCAGGTGGCCCTTATGGAACAGTGATGCAGCGTTACCTTGGTTACCGCTGTAAACACAGCAGGTGGCCCTTATGGAACAGTGATGCAGCGTTACCTTGGTTACCGCTGTAAACACAGCAGGTGGCCCTTATGGAACAGTGATGCAGCGTTACCTTGGTTACCGCTGTAAACACAGCAGGTGGCCCTTATGGAACAGTGATGCAGCGTTACCTTGGTTACCGCTGTAAACACAGCAGGTGGCCCTTATGGAACAGTGATGCAGCGTTACCTTGGTTACCGCTGTAAACACAGCAGGTGGCCCTTATGGAACAGTGATGCAGCGTTACCTTGGTTACCGCTGTAAACACAGCAGGTGGCCCTTATGGAACAGTGATGCAGCGTTACCTTGGTTACCGCTGTAAACACAGCAGGTGGCCCTTATGGAACAGTGATGCAGCGTTACCTTGGTTACCGCTGTAAACACAGCAGGTGGCCCTTATGGAACAGTGATGCAGCGTTACCTTGGTTACCGCTGTAAACACAGCAGGTGGCCCTTATGGAACAGTGATGCAGCGTTACCTTGGTTACCGCTGTAAACACAGCAGGTGGCCCTTATGGAACAGTGATGCAGCGTTACCTTGGTTACCGCTGTAAACACAGCAGGTGGCCCTTATGGAACAGTGATGCAGCGTTACCTTGGTTACCGCTGTAAACACAGCAGGTGGCCCTTATGGAACAGTGATGCAGCGTTACCTTGGTTACCGCTGTAAACACAGCAGGTGGCCCTTATGGAACAGTGATGCAGCGTTACCTTGGTTACCGCTGTAAACACAGCAGGTGGCCCTTATGGAACAGTGATGCAGCGTTACCTTGGTTACCGCTGTAAACACAGCAGGTGGCCCTTATGGAACAGTGATGCAGCGTTACCTTGGTTACCGCTGTAAACACAGCAGGTGGCCCTTATGGAACAGTGATGCAGCGTTACCTTGGTTACCGCTGTAAACACAGCAGGTGGCCCTTATGGAACAGTGATGCAGCGTTACCTTGGTTACCGCTGTAAACACAGCAGGTGGCCCTTATGGAACAGTGATGCAGCGTTACCTTGGTTACCGCTGTAAACACAGCAGGTGGCCCTTATGGAACAGTGATGCAGCGTTACCTTGGTTACCGCTGTAAACACAGCAGGTGGCCCTTATGGAACAGTGATGCAGCGTTACCTTGGTTACCGCTGTAAACACAGCAGGTGGCCCTTATGGAACAGTGATGCAGCGTTACCTTGGTTACCGCTGTAAACACAGCAGGTGGCCCTTATGGAACAGTGATGCAGCGTTACCTTGGTTACCGCTGTAAACACAGCAGGTGGCCCTTATGGAACAGTGATGCAGCGTTACCTTGGTTACCGCTGTAAACACAGCAGGTGGCCCTTATGGAACAGTGATGCAGCGTTACCTTGGTTACCGCTGTAAACACAGCAGGTGGCCCTTATGGAACAGTGATGCAGCGTTTCCTTGGTTACCGCTGTAAACACAGCAGCGCTGCGCTTATTAACACTAATTTAAATGCATCAAACAGAGATATACGGGCAGTCCAAAAGACATTTGGGCCGTTACCAAACAAATGAAATTAACACAGAAGCTGCGTCTGAAGTGGCATTTAGATGTATTTACACACTGTTTAATGCAGGACATGAATGCATTTAACCTGCCATTACAAATGCAAAAATAATGTTTTGATCTATTAAACATAAAACGTTAAATACTGATATTTAAAATTATTTAAACAATAAAAAGATACTGTAAATGTGAAATTAAAACCACCAGTAGGTGGCAGCAAAGTCATTGTTAATAAGTGATTCATTGTGATTGAACAGAATCATTTAAACGGTTGATTCATTTTGTCGTGTTGCTCAGAGACACAAAACAGTGCTGTGGTTGTGTTTGGAAATATTTTTCTTGTCGAAATAGTGCAAAAACAAGCAATATGGTGTCTAAAATGTAAGTCTCTTAATTAACTGTTGTAAAAAATCAATGTCACATTTGTAATCATGGTAATATTTGGAGAAAAAAACGGCACTCTTCGTGTGAAATTGATTAACTATATGAAGTGGCATAAATATATAAATTTTCTGCCCCCATGTCTTGAACTTGTGATCATTCTAAATGCATTTTAATACTGAATCATGCAGTGAACTCTAGACTTGATGTGTGCGTACGCTCCGTAGGTGTGTTTTGTTTGGTTTTTGCGAAATACTTGATAATGTCAAAATCACACCAATTCTGACATTATGGCAGACGATATACAGTACGCATTCAGATCCTGCAGGTTTGATGTGTGTTGGTCTGTGTGTGTTCACCTTGTTGAAGCACAGGATGAATGATCTGCCGGTTCTTCAGCTGCTGGAGCTGCTGCAGTAAGACCAGCTCCTGCTCACAGATCCAGTCTGCAGACGTCACAAACAAACACACATGAGTTCCTCATCAGAGCGGAGGATGCTCACGGATCAGATGCTCACACACCTGCATCACGCGCTGGCTTCTCCGCTCCAGTCTGCGAGTGTGATGAAGCAGATGTCTCCACAGATCTCCTCATGTTTCCAACATGAACGTCCAGCGCCTCCTGAGACACAAAGCAGCTGATGAACAGCGACTGTCTTCAGGCAAAGGATAATAAACCAGCTCTGTTCATTCGGAGTAAACGCTGTGTGAAGTGTTGGTTTGATATCGGTGTCTAATTCATTATAAATCAGTGTTACATCAAACCTGTTCTCAGACACTGAAAACAAAAACACTAATTGCAATTTTACTGTGATTATTGATTATAATATTTAAATATTTTGATAATGCGAAATAAAAATATTAAACAAAATAAGAGACATATTGTAATAATACTGCAAGATTTAAAAAAAAGGATTATTTTATTTTACTGTAAAATTTAAATTCTAATTAATTTCTACATTTTCAAAGGGTAAACTACGAAGTTTTTATTTTGATGGGTTGTCGACAAATAAAATTGATACGCTGTCTGTTTCTCCACACACATGCAGCGCCGTGTTTCAGAACGGCTTGACCGTAAACGAAACCACTGAAACACCGTCTCATGAACTACATGTGTGTAAAAGTATAAATAGCAATTGAGTTTAAGTTTGGGCTGTTGTTAATTGTAATCTTATAGTAATATAAAGAGCTCCCTATAGTTTAGAGCAGAAGCTGAGGTAGATTTTTATCCCTGAGGAAATTAATTATAATTTAATTTATTTAAAGAAAGAGCAATGTGTTTAGTAAACATTGTAAAAAAAAAAAAAAATTTTTTTAATTATAATAAAAAGCAATTTGTTTATTTTTTTCCTCCTGCTGTACAGAAACCATACCGAACCGTCATGTTTGTGTGCCGTTGCACTCCTAGTGAATGCAGTAGCTGGTCTTTCATACCTTGGCAGTGAAGGACACAAACAGCACGCCGTCCACGTGCTCCAGGTCAGGCTGCATGGACGCGGTGCTGACCGCAGCAGATCTGTGCTTCACGTTAGTCCACCATTTAGCCTTGGCTTTCCTCGCGCCACTCCTCCAGCCCCTGCGGTAAACACGCTTCACTCCGCAGCTGATCCCAGATCTGTGCGGCTCTGAGCTCTGAGACGATCGCAGAGACACCTCATCAGCAGATGCAGGAGCTAACGAGGCCACAGGCTCAGCTGATGGGTCTCTAACGAGCGTCTCGTCACTCATCCGTCCCTCTTCACTGGACACTGGATGTGTGTGTGTCGAGCTACAGGTAAAAGAAGAAACACGTCATAATCAAACACACTCATGATGACAGAAGGGTGCATCTCATCAAAACTCATGTGACCCTGGAGCACAAAACGGGTCAATATTTCTGAAATTGAGATGTATGCATCAGTTGAAAGCTGAATAAATGAGCTTTCCATTGATGTATGGTTTGTTAGGATCGGACAATATTTGAAAATCTGGAATCTGAGGGTGCAAAAAAATCTAAATATTGAGAAAATCATCTTTAAAGTTGTTCAAATGAAGTTCTTAGCAATGCATATTACTAATCAAACATTAAGTTTTGATATATTTACGGTAGGAGATTTACTAAATATCTTCATGGAACATGATCTTTACTTAATATCCTAATGATTTTTGGCATAAAAGAGAAATGTATAATTGTGACCCATACAATGTATTGTTGGCTATTGCTACAAATATCCCCCAGCGACTTAACACTGCTTTTGTGCTGCAGGGTCACTTATTTCAAAGCACAAGAATAAGACATTAGATTTTGCATAAAGAACATTTTTGCAGTGAAATACGACCCAGAACTTTCTTCTTGAGAAACAAAAACAGGTTAAATGAACAATTAAAACCACTGCATAGCACTACATTCATGTACCGATATGATTCATTTACATGATTTACATATTTGGTAGCCCTGAAAACCTACCAAAAAGGTAGGTTAAATTATGTAAGTTTCACTATTTTAATTAACTGTCCATGCTTTGTGATTACTAACATTTAAATTAACCGTTAAAACTGAGCCTAGAGAAATTAACACAGAAAAAAATTAATTTGGGAAAAAATAAAACTGCCCTAAAAACATAATTTTCGCTCATTTTTTTTATAAATTGCTGTTAAATTGTATACGTTTCATGATTTTAATCAATTAGCCCTTTTTTTCTTTTTTTACTAAATTAGTCACATTTAATTTAACCATTAAAAATAAAACAGAAAAATATAAATTTGGGGAAAAAATGAAAAAGAATTTGGCAAAAAATTCATAATCCCCTAAAAATTTAATTGTTGTTAAAATTTTTATAAATGTAATAGTATACGAGTCATTATTTAAATTTATTAATCATGCTGTTTGATTACTAAAATTGAAAATGCATTAAAATAAAAGAGCTCTAAACGTGTTTGACCCAAAATGAACTTTCTTAATGTGTGTTCCTGGTCTTACTGCGAATGATTCATCACTGACGCTATACTGAAGACATAAATGCTCGTCTGCTGCAACAGAATAAAGCCGCACCTGCGGTGTTTCTCGCTCAGAGCCAGCTTGAGTTTGTTCTGGATGAGGCGAGCGCTCGGCCCGTCCTCTCTGAACGCCAGCATGAAGGGGTTGCAGTCGATCTTGAGCCGGGTTATCAGTGGGTTCTGGTAGCTGGTCACCGCATAGAACGCTGTTTTAGGGAAGGTGAAGACGTGGACGTCTGGCTCGGGACAGGAGCTCACGGGAACCACGTAGAGCCGCGGCTGATAGCGGTGCATGGGCCGCAGAACCACAGCGGCGTCTGGATCCTCAGAGCTGAGCGACAGCTTCATCTTGTAGAAGGACACAGGCCCGTCCATCCAGCGCTGACCCGCAGCCGGAGAGTCCGGATGGAAACACACTAGAGAGGTCACCGTATGAACGTTACTCATCACGGTTATCAGTATCATCACCGTACTGCTAAAAAGTGCTAGAACTGTTCAAACAGCACCGACACATAAATCACCAAGTTTTGTATTTAAAATCAACAAACAATAAATAAAATGACTTTCTGTGCAGATGAGGCTCGTGCAGAAATCTAAACAAAGGAGCGCAACAGAAAGTTATGCCGCAGTAAAACAACACTATATGATTTAGGTACGCAACACAGAAGTATAGATTTTTGTTTGTGTATGCTGTCAACTATAGTTTTTAGAAAGAAAATCGGTACCGGCAGGTCACACTTACAAAAATATCGGAATCGGCCAAGAAAATTGCAATCGGTGCATCTCTAGTTCAAATAAAGCTTTGAAAAAGTTTCATAAGATGGTAAACCTCACATTTCAGCCTTTATACAGAGAAAACTGTTAAGTCAAAATGATAATTGATTAGTAAACGATTATATGCATTTTATCTGCTCCATAAATAATTCTAGATACCTTATGTGAATTGTTTAAATGAGTAGAATCCACATAAGCTTGTTTTCCATCAACCGGTCATAAATTACAGCAGGGCATGCAGAATTAGTCTGCTTTTAATGCTCAGACTGAATGTGAATGTGAGTCGCTGTAAAGCCACTCTGTGACAGCAGGTGGCGCTGATGGAGCAGCAGAATTACAGCAGTTTCTCGTAAAGAACACTAGTTTATTAGGTATTACACATGGAGAAGGTGAAAACAAAACGTGCCATCGAATCTTTTCTGAAGACCGTCAGAACCTTCAGAGGTACATATAATTAATTCATTCATATATTCATTTGTATAATTCCCTTAGCACTCTTTTAAAACCTCGCAGCTTTCTGCCGTTTTCACACAAATCGAAACTCATCTGCTGCTGTGCGAACATGAGACTGTTATTTAAAACTGTGCTTTATGCTGGACAGTATTTATGTATCCCGAGTTCAGTGAAGGACCGCGAGCAGAATATATATCACTAGACGCCATTCACACAGAATGAGCTTTTGTGTTGATAAAGATGCGACGCTGCAGTGTGAACAGTCTAGAAAAATTAAGAGAAAAAAAAATTTTTTTGCGAAAAAATAACTCGGCCCTGAAAACATAATTTTTTTTTTTTTTACTAAATTAGTCATTTAATTTAACCATTAAAACTGAATACGGACAGAAATATAACTGAAAAATATAAATTTGGGGAAAAAATGTAAAAGAATTTGGGAAAGAATAAAACGGATTTCAAAGGGCCCTAAAAATAAAATTTTTGTTAATATTTTTAATAAATTGTTCTTATGTGTTGTACGCATTGTGCACGTTTAATTATTTCAAATAATTAGACATGTTCTTTCATTATTAAAAATGTAATTTACCCACTGAAACAGAATACAGAAAAATACAAATGGAAAAAAATAAGTTTAAAATGTGTGTCCCTGCTCTTCCTGCGAATGACGTCCTAAAGACATAAATGTTTGCTAGCAACATCAGCTAAGTGTACTTGAACCGAACGGCGTTTGTGTCATTTGTGCTGGTTTGATCTGTGACGTTTCTGTCCTTCGTGTATGCCGTTAACAGAAACATTATTACATTTAAAGCTTTTTCATCGAACAGTCTAGAAAAATTAAGAGAAAAAAAAAAATTTTTGCGAAAAAATAACTCGGCCCTGAAAACATAATTTCCGTTAATTTTTTCATAAATTGCATGTTTCATGATTTTAATCAATTAGCCATTTTTTATTTTTTTTTTACTAAATTAGTCATTTAATTTAACCATTAAAACTGAATACGGACAGAAATATAACTGAAAAATATAAATTTGGGGAAAAAATGTAAAAGAATTTGGGAAAAAATTCATAAGCCCTTAAAAATGTAATTAAAAAAAAAAAAAAACGAATACATTTTTTTATTAAATAGTATACGAGTCATTATTTTAATTTACCAATCATGCCGTTTGATTACTAACATTTTAACGTTTGACCCTTGGTTGATTTTAAAATTGTATTTTATTTTATTAGACATCATTTTTGAATATTAAAATGTAATCAAACCATTAAAACAGACTCCAGAAAAATTAAAACAAAGAATGTGGAATTTGGGAAAGAATAAAACGGATTTCAAAGGGCCCTAAAAATAAAATTTTTGTTAATATTTTTAATAAATTGTTCTTATGTGTTGTACGCATTGTGCACGTTTAATTATTTCAAATAATTAGACATGTTCTTTCATTATTAAAAATGTAATTTACCCACTGAAACAGAATACAGAAAAATAAAAATGGAAAAAAATAAGTTTAAAATGTGTGTCCCTGCTCTTCCTGCGAATGACGTCCTAAAGACATAAATGTTTGCTAGCAACATCAGCTAAGTGTACTTGAACCGAACGGCGTTTGTGTCATTTGTGCTGGTTTGATCTGTGACGTTTCTGTCCTTCGTGTATGCCGTTAACAGAAACATTATTACATTTAAAGCTTTTTCATTCTTTCATCAACGCCACAGCATGTGCTTCTGTCTCGGGTCTAACCACAATAACTGCTCTGCAGAAAACTGTAGACTGTTCAAAGCTGTAAATAAAACAAAGACAAAGAAAATACTACTTCTGTCTTTTTCTTTCAAAATAGTTTAATTTAGCGCTGGGCAATGCTTAATCACGGTGAAAGGAACTGTTTTACAGTCTATGATCATTACGCTGATCATTACCTGCTTTTAAGAAGCCCCTCCCTCAGAAGTAGGCGATGGGCTCTGATTGGTTCGCTTCACACGGCAAAGTTTCTAAATGGCCCAAATTTGTTAATACAAGTCACGCGTGAGTAAACTGTTCTCTCATTGGTCAAAGTTCCACGGTTTATTTTCCGGGATTCCACTGAGCTGTCACAGCTGTCATCCGTCAGGACGGAACAATAACAGCTTCGCGGGCTTATTTTTGGGTTTTCTGTAGCTGTTGTTAATAATAATTTATCATTTTGAGTCCAGGATTGATTGGGAAAACATTTTTAAAATGCACATACTACAAAGAAGAGCAATAAGACGACATTATAAAACAAAAAAGTGCGCTTTGATTTTTGAATGACGAAGACGTGCTCTCCCACAGACATTCACAGGTTTTATACATTGTGATATAGCCTGGTTCGTTGGTCCGTTGGATCGGCTTGCACGCACGTCCATGTTTAATGCTTCTCATAGCTATGTGAAAATAAATGTATAATTGTAACAGTTGAGAGAGAGAGAGAGAGAGAGAGAGAGCGAGAGAGAGAGCGAGAGAGTGTGTGAGAGTGAGAGAGTGAGAGAGTGAGAGAGAGAGAGCGAGAGCGAGAGAGAGAGAGCGAGAGCGAGAGAGCGAGAGAGAGAGAGCGAGAGAGTGTGTGAGAGAGCGAGAGAGAGATGCAGAGCGTGTGCAGAGATTGATTTTGAAATGTGTGAATCCATTAGAATCGTTAGAAGACAGAATCGGGATTCATATATGAATAGATTATTACGTGCACCTCTAGTTTTCGCTTCCTCTTCTCTAAAGCAGTATGGCCCCGCCCCCTTTGCTGCTTTTCCCCGGGGGAGGGGTTTATCTGGGTTTGTGATGTCACAAACCCAGGAAGTAACTCGTTGTAGTCTCTACGAGCCGTTACTGTAGGCATTAAACTGACAGAATTGTAAAAGAGGATATCTCCGTTTGCATTGAACTTTCAGCTTCGTAACTTTGCAGATATTGTTTATGCTCAAACAGCAACATTACACACTAACTAACGTTAAAAAAGCGAAATCGCAATCAACCGCCCCCTTTAACAGAAATCTTAAAGACTTAACGAGCTGTTTATTTTCAAACTTAAACATTTTTTCTTGTAATCTAACCTAAAACATGGCCTATCTATATATAGACTGATTCGTTATTGTTCGGTAACACTTCACAGGTTCCATTAAACATTAGTTAACATGAAATAACAAAGACTGCGTTTATTAATCTTCGTTCATGTTAATTTCGACTTTTACTAACACATTATAAAATCTAAAGTTGTGTCTGCTAATATTATTCAATGGCGCTAACATTAACTAACAATACATAGTTGTATTTTTATTAATCAACATTAACAACTGCAACAATTAGCTATTGCACATCGTTAGTTAACGTTAACCTGCTTTAACTAATGCGACCTTATTGTAAAGAGTTACCTATTGTTCTTTTGCACTCTACTCTCCAAACATGTGTGCGATAACTTCTGATTCAACCAATAACGTGCGTTTGGGGGCGGGGCCATCTGTACGACTGACCAATGACAGACGTGCTCGGAGGAAAACCCGTCTCAAACAGTAATCGTTACGAAACAGTTTAAGTCACACAGCCCCACACACTTCATCAAGCACGGTCCACACAAACAGACATTAAGCTAAGCTGTTTTAGCGGTTCTTTAACACAAAGGACACTTATTTAGATCCTATGCAGCGTTCCCAAGGCATCACACCCACATCTGTAGACAGCAATCAGCGCTGAAAGACTGTATAAGCGGCTGAGGGGCTACAGTTAGTCGCTAACTAGTACTAGTTACTAGCTGACGGACGCGGGAGTACTGCGAGGCAACAGAGTCCGCTCGACTCGAGCAGAAGCCACACAGACGCGCGCTGTTGAGCACTCACCGACATCGGAGTCCCTCCGGGCCGTTCGCGAGGCTTCTCGGTGCTTTCTGACCGAAACGCGTCTCAGACCAACTGATCCTCCGCGCGCGGTGGCCACGTGACGTCACGCAGCGCAACCGCTCCCCGTTCGCGCTGTTTTTCCTCGCGGACCAATGGCGTGGCGTTCCGGTGCGCCTAATGTCAGCGGTTGCTCATCGCACTCACCAGGAGCAACGTGGGCGGTTTAATTAATTATTATTATTATTATTAACATTATTTATGTCTCGCCGTCTTTTACAGGTAACGATGTAAAGCGCGTTCGTTTCCTTTGATTAGTATCAGCTCGCGTGAATTATTTTAACAGCGCCGCGCTAACGGCTAGAGAAAACCTGACAGTTATTCCGCTTGTT